CGCTGCGAAACGACTTGGAAATTCGATAAGGAAGAGCAAATTCGCTTCAATGAATTTATTGCCATGAACGATGAAATAATTGAACTGTGAGCGCCAAAAGCTTCTCCCCTTTTCTCTGGTGCGATCAAACTTCCGGAACTGAGTTCCGCGCCCCTCGAATTTTTTTTCGGCGACGAAACGGATGCCGCATTGATAATTATTGCGGAAGATGGTAAAAGTTAAGAGATTGCGGAAAGTCAGGGCGATGGTAAATGATGTGGAAAGATTAAATTGTACGAAAGGTCTTGAAACGCACTTTTGTGTGTTACTGAGTGTGTGTTTGTGTGGAGAAAAGCCAGCGAGCATCGCGTGAACTCCCAAGTCGAGGAGGAGAAAATGCGAAAATAGGTCATCAGGGTGCAGTTAAGGCTCTCCAGCCAGGAAAAAAGGTGTTCCGGGACATTTCCATGAATTTCTAATTCTTCATGTGGAAGTTTGAAGCCTCTGTTTTTTTTCACTTCCTCCTCTTTGTTCTGGACTTTTGGAAGAACTTGAGGGATTAAATTATATTTACAGTGACACAAATCCTAATCCAATTGGCAAAAATTCCGCACTCTTATCGGATGACGGAGTGCCAGAAAAGATGATTTCTTGTTCTTGTTTTCACTTCTTCCTCAACTTAGAGAGCGCGTCTCTTTCGCATCTTTTTTTTTTCTTTTGACTCCTCAAAAGGCAGAGCACATATTGTAGCTTCACTCCATATAAAATTTATTGCCAAAACCTTTTTCAAGTTTCATGAAATTTGCATGGCAAAAGAGGAGCACTTCTTGCGATGAAGATCCGCCGCCTCTCCCATCATTTAATGAGCTTTCATTTTTCGGCTAACCAGCAGGAAAATGTGATTAAATTGCGCACAGCATTTCCCCAAGAGAGGATCACACTTCTTTTTTTTGCTGTTGTTTTAGCAATTCCAATGAAAACTCGCCACAGTTAATCAGTCCCAACAGAGGGCGAAAAAAAAGGTGTACAGAAGAAAAATTTATTAACACTCGTTGGCACAAATAAAACAGAATATTTTATCGATTATTTCACATTAACATGAGAAATGGTGAAAGTTTTCTTTTTCATGCTAAAAAAAAAGCACACAGGCAAAATACCAAGAAAAAATTTCACTCAACAGTGAAGCTAATTTTTCCAACGCGCTCTCCAAGAAAACCGCACGAAGAGTTTTGAAGGTATTATTTTTTAACGTCTTTTTCGTTATGGGAAAAGAAGAGCCGCGAATGTGATTCCTCGTCGCACAAATTCCTCTTAATACTTTCTCTGCACGAAATCACTGGAGATCCTCCGGCGAAAATCTGGGCAAGGAATTGCACACCACCCACAAGCACAGAAACTTGGAGAGATTGTGCCACTTTCGCAAACCGCACAATTATCCTAAAAAACTATATTCTACACAATAGAGATTCAATGAGATTTTCTCTTCACTTCTCCATGATTGCCATTCCACTAGTATTTCCCTAATTATGTACATTACACGAAGCACACACACAATTTAGGCTAATGGAAAGTATAGGGGAGTAACTGTTGGTAATATTGAGTGTACTATATGTAATTCTTTATGTATTAGGGTAAGAGTACAACATCAAATTTTTGCAGACTCCACAGAAACACGAACCGGCCCCACAGAAATATCTTCGGCTACTGAACTTGTGCCCCCCAAAAAATCATGCTCCACCGTGTGATTCGAGTGAAAACCACCCCATAAATACATAAGAGGGGACGTTGGACTGACGTAATGGATATGTGGCGCCGCACGGCGGCCAGCACGTGCGCAACTTCCCCACCCTTGGAGCGAAGGGGAGCCTCGGAAGGATGCAAGCACGCACTCCGCTGTGGGTGGAGATTCATTGAGAGAAGCATCAAAGGGAATATGTGACCGTTGATTGTAAATTCATACGTCTGCATAGGGAGAATGTGGAAGGAAAGGATGTGCCCCGGACAAAGGACATCACACAAAAACGACTCAGCAAATTTGAATTAATGCAACTGGAATTGAAATGGCCTTTCGATCCAATTAAGCCTGTGACTTTATTTACCTCATTCACGGTGCTTCGGAACTGCAATATTGATTATCATTCATTTTAATGAAGATATTTTTTTTTGTATTCTGCATTCTAGCGGCTATTATTTTGTGCATTCATTATTGAAATAGATGTTGAAGAGTTGCTTCTCTTTATCCATTCAATTGGGCGGAGCATTCGAGTGGGCAGAACTTCGTGAACGTCTCCTTTTCCGTCTTCTGGCCTTCATTAGGAAATAATTGTTATCTTTTATGGCAATTTAAATAGTCACAAGAATGCAAAGTACAAGGAAAACTCCACAAAAGCTTGGAGACATTTACACTCAATGAGACGCTTTTGTAGATTCTTACATTAAATGTTATTTGCTAAATGAAATTAGGCCAATTTTCCGAGCAGACACGAATTGACCATGAAAATGGCCTCCTTTTAATCACTTGAATGACTGTAATATCCGCACTTTCCACCCAAAAGTGTTTAATGTGAGTAATATTGTGCGAAAGATACTTTGCGGATGTGTTCGTGATGCTCAGAGGAGCAATTTTGTGGGGTAATTATTCAACAGTGGAAAAAGCATGTGGAAAACTTGTGCCCAGGTAAAATGGTAGCAACAATTATGAAAATATTCGAAAATCCTGCCTGAGGTTTGGGGGGCTCTACGGCACCAGTGATCCCTCCTGTGAAATGGGTAAAGGCTGTCCGAAGTGCGGAGCATGGAAAAACTTTCACAACTTGTTACATTGTGTTCGCCACTATTCTATTATTTATGATTTCAAGAGGGAAGGTAAACATATAGTTTCGGCAGGGAAAGGCCTGAGGCCGCGGTGGGGATTGGCGGAGACGACAAAAAGAGCGAAAAACCACCTCATAATTGCGGGTAATGCCACAAACACACACCTGGACAGTCACCCTTCGGAGAATTATGCCCGAGAAAAAAATGCCAGCCAAATATGCCTTCAAAACACTAACTTTAGAGACGCGGAAATTTTCACATCACCCATATTTTCTCTCGTGTCTGCTCAAATTTATTTCATTCTCCATCATCACCCATGCTTCTCGCCAGTGTTATAAATTTATCAATGATTTATATGGCGTGTTACGATGCTTGCGCCTCACCGGGAGCTTTCGACGACACCAGGCGTCCCCACTGCTGTGATTTCTATTGGAAATTCTTGCTCTTCCCAGCGAACGCAATTTGCTGAAGAATGCATTTTCAGCTGAAATACTGCTCGGTGGCGAAAGCGTGCTCAACATTGAACACACAAATTCAATAACGTCTCCATTCAGATCCTTTATAGGCACATTTTTGATCACTTTTCCTTCGCTTCCAGCTCAAAATCAAGCACAAAAATTCCATTTTTTCACCACTCTTAATCACCTTCTTATTAATCTGTATCAGAAAGTGGCGTGAGAGGATAAAAGCATGTAAGTGCTTTTTGTAGCAAATTCTCGAGCACAACATAAAATTGGGACCCATATTTTGCTCTGTTCCCACATTTAAACCCTCTTTCGGGAGTGCAACAGTTGCAGAGCGAATTTTCCACATTTAATGAATCCATATTCGTAGAATTAATTACGTTTTTTGTCCTTCGAAATCAGAACTGAAAATGCTGGGCGCACTAATGAGCATCTCCTAGGCACGCTTGTTCGACACAAAATGCCCGCCAGTTATCCAAATAGAGGAGCAATTCTCATTAATTCAGTCCACTGTTGGTCGTTGGTCGAAAATCACTTGAATGTTCGGGGTGGAGATTTCACTTTCATTTGTGTGTCTTCTCGGCATAATAATGAGAGGCGATGAGAATGTGAAAAATTCAGAAGGATTTTCCCGCCACACTCCTCCACCGCCACATTGGGGATTTTTCCGCAAGAGGGAAAATTACTAATTAGAAATTCCTTATGAAATATTTTCAAACCATCCTCAGTGAATTTAGGGGATCCACACAGCAGGCACGTGGAGAGGCCAGACTTTATGGCTGAGTTTTTGTCGTTTTTGCTGAAATAGCGATAATGGTGCTAAAAGTGCCATTAGAATATTTTGCATATTTCGTCGTGATTTTGCATTTTTCATCCACACAGGGCTTTTAGTTTTCCAATTGAGACACTCTCTTTCTCACACACAATTTCTCCACATCGCGCGTTTCCTTGTGCGCGACTTTTCCAGGCCTTCGATTTGCACTCACACACACACACACATGAGCAAAAAGCCACCCTTCGATCAAAAAGCACAGAGGGAAAAATGTCCGGCAACTGTTGAAAAAGTATCATGCACGCTATTTAGCAATTATTTTTCTCCCAATTTAACAAAAATATGTAAAGTCTGGTGGACTTCCACGGCTTCTCTCGCGCTCTGGAGGGAAATATGTGCGGAAAGCACGGCGGAGGGAGTGGTAAAATGCTGCTCTTGACTGTTTTCATAAGTTTCACTCGTGATTTTTTTTTCTCTGCCTTCATGATATACTACCATAAATTATTTGGTGGCCACTCATTTTCCAACCTCTTTTCGCATTTGCCTACGAATGAGTGATTTTTACAAAACAATGCCTTCTCAAACTTCTGGCCTGGGAAATTTTCTCTGCACACAAGTGACTTTTTCACCGAGGGTAGAAGAAATTAATTTGAGAACACCAAAGAAAGTGACATGAATGTGATTTTAAACTGTCTTGAAGAACTTGTTGATTTACATCGTGGGTGAATATTAAGCTATTACACAGCAAAAGACGCTGTGATTCACAAATGTGGGTGGAATTTGTGAAATACCTGCGAAATTGCTGTGTTTGCCGAAAAATGTAGATTCCACTTTGTTGCATGTAATATTAATTCACGCACAAGATGAGTGCAGAGAATGAATTTCGTGTAAACCATGGTCAAATAGTCCCTTTTTTCACCACTTCAATTTATGTTTCGCTCACCATTAACACCAGAAATACACACCATCAATTTATTCGGTGACAATAAATCTTCTCCCAACATCACTAGAGTAATATTTATTTGCGAAAATGTCCAACCATGCAGAATTGGTGCAATTGCTCTTATATGTGTAATATTGTGCAGTGGAAAATGTCGCGAAAACGCTTCCCAGCGCATCAAAGCTGCGTATTTTCCGCGACCTTTCTGTAGCCAAAAGAGTTGATCATGTCCAACTCCTTCTCACACTGCAAGGCGAAGTCTGTGAAGTTTGCCAGGACGTCTTCGGCCTTCGGGATGTCGATGAGCTCAACTGTGCCACCGTAAGACTTCAGCAGACAATTCGGCGCCAAATATTCATGCATCATCTCATAATCCTTCCCATGGAAGTACACTCGATTGCGCAACTTGTCCACCAGAAAGTTCTTAATAATCGCGTACGTGGCATCGATGATGGGCGTCTCGTTAACCACGTGCAGCGCCTTGAGGCGCAGAGGAATACAGTTCTGGCACCACTGCATCCCGAAGCGGATGAACGATGGCGTGAGGGGTCTCAGGTGGCTCAGCGAGAGCTCCTTGAGGTCCAGAACGCCCACGACGCCGTTGACTTGAGTGTCTGGCTCGCTGCTCGCCACTTCCATCATCACGGCCACCGCCCTGAAGAGACGCTCCACGGAATAGATCTCCGGATTGAACTCCTTCACGATGCGCACAATGATCACGCGCCTGCCCTTGTGATCCCGCCGCGGAATCAGCTGCAGCATCTTCAAGTTTGCAATGTCCAAGTAGTAATTGACATCGAGACCGAAGAAGTACTCAGGATGCTTCGCCTTGATGCTGTAGTATCTCTTGATCTGGAAGAAAAAAACACGTGCTCGTCATTTGCTTATCACTCAAGAAAAATTTAGCCCCGCCCACAATGTTGCTCCGCCTTCGCCAGCGAATATATAATGCTGTTTTTTCCTATTTAAAGTATTCTTCGAGAATACAATCAATTTCTGGAAATATTCCTCGAGAAGTTTAATCAATTCTGCTAAAATTATTCGAAGATTAAGTTGTGAATTTATTCATTGCTCTAACTCTTACGTATTTCAACCCAATTAAAAATTATTTGCTCACGTGCAGAGGATTTTCAATGAATAAAAAAGCACAGAAGCACAGAGAATTTGCATTTAATGTGCTTTTTGCTCTCAGCAAAATCTGCCATTATGTAACTTGTTTTTATTTAATAGTTAAGCTATATATATTATTTGTATAATATCAACATTAAGCAAATAAAAAATGAGTTTCAGCCAACAAAAAAACTCAACCCAACGTTTAAAAATAAATTAAAAATGTATGTGGCTCAAAAGTCGATTTATCAATTTAAAAAATTGATATTTTTCTTTCTTTTTTCGACATTAATTTCAAAGTTTCTCCTTCACCCTGACTAAACTAATAAATCACTTATGATAGTGATTTCCTAATCATCTCCTTTGTATTGTTGCTTATCAAAGAGGTTTCATTTAAGATAACCTTTTAATTGTTAAATATTTAACTTACAATCCATAAATTGATAACATTGTTAATTTTTTACACACGAGACAATTTGCCTTCAACACTTCAGTTGAGAAATTGCGTTGTGGATTCATTTTTTTTGTTGAAAAATACCTTTTTGCCACATTTGTTCGACACGAGAGCAATTGAAATATTACCATAACCATGATATTACATTTCCTCTGCTTATTCCAGTCATTTTCGGTGTCTTAATAGAGGTGTAATTTTTTGTGAGCACTTGCGATGATTTAGTGAAAGTGGTTTTGCGCCATCATGACTCGAAAGCAAAACACACCGAAATGTTCCCGGGCCTTTTGACCCGAGCAAATCCAAAGGGCTAATCATAATATACTTCTTAAAGTGCTGAACGCTCCGTGTTAAATTCCATCGCTATGAATAATTGCACGGCTCTTGCAATTACAGCTATTTCTCAATGGCCCACAAAACGCAAATTTGCGGTAAAAGTTTGCCAGAGAGATAGAGAGATAAAGTTCGCCTCACCAATTCGAAGGCGCTTTCTGGGTAGAATTTGCACTTCCTGAGGAACTTCACCAGCCAGAAATCGTTGTCTGGCCACGTGAGATCCTTCTCCTGCGTCAGCAAGCGTCTCAGCTCCGCCAGCGACTCCTCCTTCCTCTCTGGCGTCTCTCGCAGCTCCTTTTCCGCCGTCCTGCGCGCCTTTTCGCTCAGATCCGCCTCGAAGACGAACTCATGCTTCCCAATGACCAGGGATGGGATCTCTGTGATGCCCGAGAGGAATCTGGAGTCACTCACTTTGGTCACGCGAGTCATCTTGCGCGCGCGAATCCACCTCAGACGACTGACTGGCCGACACTGAGACACTCAAGTGCTCTTGGCCAGATAAAGTGACCCACAACAGCCCGAAATTGCCACTCGAGGCAGGAGCAAAAAAGACACGTGAAACCGAGAATCACAGCACAATTTCTTCACATGGGATTGAGACAAAAAGACGCACAGAGAAACCCACTAATCAAAATCACATGTGTACAATTACCCTGCACGTTAATTGTTATGGCCAAAACTAACGAGGTAGAGTCTTTGAAGGAGAAAAAATTGTTGTTTTGGGCAGATTATGTCGCCAAAGTTTTTAGCTTTCTCTCTTTACCACTCAAATGCATGCATTATTATTTATTGTAACACGAAAGCACCATTTCCAGCCACCCTGTGTCTAACCGTCTTCGAAAGCTTCGAAGTGAGCACTTTCAAATATCAACCGCTATTCTCTTTGTCCACACTTCATCGACTTGTGGAACTCTTTGTGGAGGGTGTTTTGACGTGTCAAGTCCACGTGAAGAAGTGATTGTGCGTGAAATTTGCCTTTTTCTCTGCTAAAATCGCATTTATTTGCCTCAAATATGGGTGATAAAAGTGATGAGCTGTTCAGCAATCTGAATAAGATGGTGAGTGCGCGTGTTTCAGCCGTTCTCGCTGTGAAATCCGTGGCCGGCGACTTTGTTTACGTCCCGCCTCGGAGGGGCTCACAGATTCTCACGGATGGGGACTCCGGTCACGTCGCTGATCCACATCACGTAGGGCGCGACGTTGGTGTAGACCGCGGGGCGGCCAGAGAAGCATCCCAGGCCGCTGCCAAAGGACAGCACGCCGATGGTGGTCTTCTGGCCGTCAGTCTCGACGATCGACAGTCCGGCGCCGGAGTCGCCCTGGCAGGGAGAGCGCTCGTTGCCGGGCGTGCACAGGGAGGTCTGGTGGAAGAGCCCTGGGTAGTTGATGGTGCACGTGAGACGTGCCATCACCTGCGCGCGGATGTAGCGATGCTGCGTAGAGATCGTGTCCTTGCGGCTGCCCCAGCCGCTCACGAGCGTCCTCTGGTTGAACCAGTTGGAGTTCACGTGCCGGATGCTGGGCAGACGGGCCGCGGTCACGCGCCACGTGAACGTGACATCGTGATCCAGCTCCACGAGGGCGATGTCGTTGGCGAACGTGGTGGGATTCCAGAGCGGATGACGCTCGATCCGGCTGAAAGTCATGCGCACCTGGCCGAACTCGTTGACATTCTGCACTTCCTGGGCGCCCATGATGGCGATTCCGGCATTCGACAGGCCACCGCAGTGGGCAGACGTGAGGATCCAGCGGGTGGACACCAGAGTGCCGCCGCAGAAGGCGTGCGCCATCGGGAGATTGAAGAGCAGCGCCACAGTCTCCGGGAACTGACCTGCCTCGGCGATGTTCCCGCCCAGGATGTAGCCATTCCACTCGGAGTCTCGGTCGCGTGTCAAGATGCGACGCAAGATCGGGAACCAGTCGAAGAAAGTGGGAGTATTCCACACGGGCAACACTTGAGCCCAGTTGATGGTCGTCGCGACTGTGTCGGGCTCGTAAGGCTGCACGGGATTCACGAAAACATCCTCCGGAATGGTCTGCGGAGTCTCCAGGTCGGCGCCAAGGGCCACCGCGGCAATGCACAAAATCACAATCCACTTCATTGTTGTATTCGACAAGTTCTGGAAGCTCTCGGAAGCGCCTTCACTTTTATACCCAAACGAAATCCCACGATAAGGGACTCAGATTGTCTCCATCTTATCGCAGTTATGCAAGATCTTCGACCCTGATTCCACGGAAGGCGCGCAAATCTGTGACTCACACACCGTGTCGGGAGAGCACCTGGTCTCTAATCCTCATCACTTTTATCAAGATCCAAAATACGCGGGGAATTTCTTAGTGATCGGCGTTCAAATTGCCAAATTGATGATGCATATTCTGGAAAGGGGAAATCTATAAGTTTACCGAAGAAACACATTCTTTTGCAATAATCCTCCAGAATCAGTCGCGCGTACATTACGATATCTCTTATCGATGTGATGACCAAAATGGGATTTTCATCTATTATGGAAAGTTACGCTGAAAAAAAATTGTCTCTCACTTTGTTGCAGAACGACATTGCGATGGAGTTGGAGAATGAAATACGGTGCATGAGTGATGTTGGCGCATCGAGTGAAGATGAAGAACTCACAAGACTCGTCGCCGAGAACCAGAGTCTGAAGCATCGACTCCACATTCTCAATAAGGTAATGATGCGCACTTGTGGGAATTGCGAGTGAGAAATTGTGTGCAACTCTGTAATCAGTCGGGAAAGGCAATGTTGTGAAATTGAAAAGAATCTGCATTATTTTAGCTCCTCCCATTCGTAAGTTCCGCCCATTGAAATGCTTTCTACTCTAAATCTTGCGCATTCATGGTCAAAATCAATTTCTTAAGAGCGCAAACAAAGCTTACCTAAAATTTTCACGTTCAAAACACCATTTTGGCATGTGTTCATGCTGATAAATCACAATTTTATGTGTATTTATGTTGACATTAGTATGAAATTCAATGCGTGTGTGAGTATTTTGATGTTTTTTTGTGCAAAAGAACTAACTTTGACTTATTTTTCATATTTCCTTATACGATTCCAGCTAGAATTGAAGTTTTCTTATTTGAATTATCATTATTTGAATCTGATAAATCTATTCTGTCACATTCCTAGTTGAGCCAAAGAATCCAAGCATCTTGCAAGCTGTGCAACAAGATCGTCTTATGTGCACTTTTCTCCTTGTCTTGCAGGCAATCGGCGAGTACAAGCCCACCGATGAAGTGAAGGTGAATAGCCAATTCTCGATACTTAATCACCTGACTGACATCTTCAGGGACGCGCTGAGTCGTCTCTATGATGGCGAGTTTGTCCAGAATGTCACTGTGGCGGCGACGAACAATGCAAAGTTCGGCGACTATCAGTTCAACAGTGCCATGACCATTGCCAAGATCTTCAAGGATCGCGGCGTGGGGCGGAACCCGCGCGAGATCGCCATGGAGGTGATGGCACAAGTGCAGAAGAGTGAGATTGTGGAGCGATTTGAGGTGGCGGGCGGCGGCTTCGTCAACATCTTCCTCAAGAGGTAAGTGAGACAAGGGAGAGAGATTGAAAGGCGGCGTGCTCAATGATCTCTTCTTTTTATTCAATTGATCGCAAGATGGAAAAAAAGGAGAGTGTGTAGATTTTATGTTTCGAAGGGGGAGAGATTCAGTTGCTGTATTGCTCTATTCGGTGGCATTCTTCTCTTCCTTGATCTCCTCCGCCGGTGCCGCCTTGGCGGGTTCCTCGTCCTTCCGCAGCGCCTCCTCGGGCTGCGGCTGCTCGGCCTCGACGGCCTCGCTCCGCTGCGATGGCTCGGTGGGATCGTAGGCCTCCTGCGGCGCCGCCACCGTGTCGCAGTCCTTCTGGTCCGTCTCCACGAAGAATGTGCGCGAGATCTTGTACTTGTCCAGTGTGCCGTAGGCGCGCTGCAGCACCTCGCCGGCCGGCAGGCGGTCCCTGGTCATCAGCCAGACGAAGTCAGTGTGGCCGAAGGGGATGATGGAGCTGCAGGAGTAGAGCACGGCGAAGCCGTCGTAATCAGTGTCCAGCACGTTGAATGTCGTGTCATAGGCGATCGGCGTGTTTGTGTAGCGAACGTTGAACTTTCCTGTTGTGCCGCGGCCGAAGAGTGTCATCTGTCCGGACACGATTCTCTGCACGTTGGTGCTGAGGAATGAGAGGTTCTGGGTCAAGGGATCTGCGCGGGAGTGTTCGGAGTGTGCCGAAAAGACTACTCACAATCTGTTGACGATTCCATTGTTGGCGTAGAGTTTCTGATCTGCGCGCCGCTCGAAGTACATTGAGGTGCACTTGGAGCCCAACTCGGTGAGGGTGAAGTAGCGCTCCTGCTCGTACCACATGCCCAGGAAGCGCTCCTTGTCGAAGTCCGACACTGGCGCATAGTCCGGACATCGGCCAAAGGATGGGAACTGGCCAGTGGCTGTGTCCCAGAGGACCAGCAAACAGATCACAGAAAGAAAGACTCCAAAGCGCATCTCTGCTGACTCTGTGTGACTCTTCTACGGGAAAATTCTCAACCACTTGAGTGGCGAAATAGACAAGAACTGAACTCGCGATGAGGAGTCTTCTGTTCTTTTATACCCGGTGCTTAACGGTAAATTGTACCTCAGCTTGTCTGCACGATAGTGCAAATAACCTCTCGCGCATATTATTCCTTCCTCCGCCGTGTGACCAATAAGTGTGTGGGTGGGCTTGGGAAGATTTCTCGCTTTTTTCCACTTGCCCCGGCGGAATAGTGTTGTTTGTCTGGATTCCATGCTGTTGAATTATCACATGTCAGAATTGCGCAAATATTTAATAACAATTATTTTTAATTTTAAATCACAAATTCCCTCTAAGTCACCGTTACCCCTGCCGGCCACATTCAATTTCCTCCCGCGGGATGTGCATTTGTGCCCGGATCGCGCGCGGCAGGTGGGCCCCCTTCGCGAGCTTAGAGCGCCCACGCAAGAAACGCGCAGCGTGGAAAGTTTTCACTGTTTTGTCTGTGATTCAAATCAACATTAAAGAAGAGCTTGGCGATATCGGCGAATATTTGTATTCTCTCTTCTGCTGCGTGCGAGAGAAGTCTCTTTAATTGTCTCTAGTCAATTGCTTCGCGAGGATAAATGAAATAAAATAGCGTGAAATATCTAAATTGGATATGTCCGAAGGAAGAAATATTTTATATTCCATCGAAAGGGGTGTGCAAGTGCTCCAAAATGAGCTCTTGAATCACATAAATTTACTATTGTGCATTTTGAGATGGAAAACACCTTTAGAATTTGAGGGAAAATCGAGGAATTTGTGTGTTATTTAATGATTTTCAGTATTGTTTGAAGACCTAAAGCAATTTCTTCATGTCTTTAGGTGTTTTTTCGATGGTTTTGTGTGAATTATGTCGGGTTTATTTGGGTTATTTTGAGTTATTTCCTTAGATTTTCAGTACTCACATTCTTTTTTATGTAATTTCTCTCACTTTTTTGGGTCATTTTCTGCAATTCTTTCTAGCATTTAGTGCAAGATAAATTCACACCCATTCACATTGAATGCGCTCTCCAAATTGCCATTGATGCGCCCCTTGATAGGTTCTCAATAAGAATTTTCGAGTTCAATTTCCTCATATATTAAGCGCACTTGTCTGGCATATTAATCTGTGCAGGGAATGCGTGGCGGGTCTAATAAAGAGCATCTTGGTGGACGGCATCCAGGCACCTTGTGCGGCGCGAAAACGGGTTGTGGTGGACTTCTCGTCGCCCAACGTCGCCAAGGAGATGCACGTGGGTCATCTGAGATCAACGATCATCGGTGACTCCATTTGCCGTCTGCTGGAGTTCTTCAACCACGACGTCCTGCGCATCAATCATGTGGGCGACTGGGGAACGCAGTTCGGCATGCTGATTGCGCACTTGCAGGACAAATTTCCCGACTACACGAAGACAACGCCGTCCATCAGCGATCTCCAAGCGTTCTACAAGGAATCCAAGGCGCGGTTCGACAGCGAGGAGGCCTTCAAGGCCAGGGCGTATGCGTGCGTGGTGAAGCTGCAGGCGGGCGACAAGGAGATCATCAAGGCGTGGCAGGACATCTGCAATGTGTCCAGGAAGGAGTTTCAGGTGATCTACGATCGCCTGGGCGTGAAGTTGATTGAGCGGGGAGAGAGTTTCTACCAGCAGAGGATGGTGAAGATCGTGGAGGAGCTACAGAAGGGTGGATTTCTGGAGGACGACGAAGGCAGGAAGATCATGTGGAGCTCTGAGAGTTCGGTGAGTTGCTGCAGGTCTTCGGTTTGGCGATCGTGTGTGATGGAGTGACTGTGTGGATTTCAGGGTGAGAATAGAGGCATCCCACTGACCATCGTGAAGTCCGACGGCGGCTACACGTATGATACGTCGGACATGGCGGCGATTAAGCAGAGGTTTGTGGAGGAAAAGGCGGACTGGCTGATTTATGTGACGGACGCCGGCCAGTTCACTCACTTCCAGACCATCTTTGCGTGCTCGGAGCGAACTGGTCTCATTAACAAGGAGCTGCACCGAGTGGATCATGTTGGCTTCGGGGTGGTGTTGGGTGAGGATGGGAAGAAGTTCAAGACCCGCTCTGGCGACACCATCAAGCTGGTGATGCTGCTCGACGAGGGACTCCAGCGCTCGCTGGCGAAGCTGCGGGAGAAAGGACGACATGAGCAATTAACGGCGGATGAGCTGAAGATTGCCCAGGAAGCCGTTACGTATGGATGCATTAAGTATGCTGATTTATCGCACAATCGCGTCAGCGATTATGTATTCTCATTCGATCAGGTTCGTCGATGGCATTTCTCTCTCTTTTCTTCTTCTTCTCTTTTGCATGTTGTGCAATTTAAATGTGCGGATCTTTGCAGATGCTGGACGACAAGGGCAACACGGCGGTTTATCTTCTCTATGCATACACACGAATCAAATCCATCGCGAGGAATTGTGCTGAACACTTCAAGTTGACTGATGATCTCGTGCGCAGCACAGCAATTGCTCTGGATCACGAGAAGGAGTGGAATTTGGCCAAAGTGCTGCTCAAATTCAGTGATGTTCTGCTGAAACTGTCTAAGGACTTCCTGCTGAATCACCTCTGTGACTTCACGTACGAGATTGCGACATCCTTCGCGGACTTCTACGACAAGTGCTACTGCATCGAGAAGAATAAGGCCGGTAAGTGGGGTGTGTTAATATCAATCTCTCTTTCCCCGGGGGTAATTGTTATCTCTTGCGCAGGCGAGATCGTGAAGATCAATCACAGTCGAGTTCTCCTGGCTGAAGCCACAGCGCGAATGCTGGAGAAGTGCTTCCACATTCTCGGCATCAATCTGGTGGAGAAGATGTAAAGTCCGAAGAGGGATCAATAAACAGTTTGTGTGAATTCTCGGGAAGTTTATTGGCAAAATTAAGGGGATGAATAAATAATAACTTAAGAACACCAGGAGGAGCTAATCGCCTCCCGTGAAAGTTGTGCGCAAATATTGGAATAGAGCCTCCTCGTAGATTTTCACAACTTGCTTCTCCCTGACAATTCCCAAATCATGAATACATCCTGTGATAACAGCCACGCAAACAGGGCGCTTTCCGTTGTACTTCTCCTTGACGTAGTGAATGCCTCTCATTGAGGCCCAGTTCAGGAAGCGATTGAGACACACGCACTGCCAAGGATTGTCCTCAGCAGTCACCTTGGAGAGTCTGCAAGGAAATCACCGGGAATAATTGAGAAATCCTCATTATTAACACACTTCTTCTTACCTTGGGAAGCTGTTTGTTGTGTTAGGGAAGAAGGAAATCCTGTTGCTGTGCATGTAGAGCTCACTCAAGTCCAGGAGATTGTCAAAATGCTCCCCCTGAAGATACTCAATGCCATTGTTATTGATCTGCATCACTCTCAAGCGCCTGAGCGTCCTGAAAGTGTACTCTTCGAAGAACTGCAGTCTGTTGAAGTTCAGCTGAAGGACTTCCAAGCCGATCAAGGTAGTGAAAGTGTTGCCATCAATCTGCACCAGTTGATTGTTCTTCAGCGAGAGTGTCTTGAGATTCGCTCCAGTCTTGCCGAAGATGTCCTCCTTGAGGACCTCCAGCGAGTTGTGCGTCAAGTCGAGCATCTCCAGCGATGGCAGAGAGGCGAAAGCATTGCTGCGGATCTCATTGATGCGGTTCCCTGAGAGATTGAGGTCCGTCAGAGTCGCCATTCCGTGGAATGTGTAGTCTTCGAGTTCGGTGAGAGAGTTCTGGGACAAGTCTAGCTTCTGCAGGAGTCCTAGGCCCTCGAAGGCGTCCTTGTTGATTGTGTGGATGTGATTGTGGCTGAGATCGATGTTGGATATCCTGGCGTTGGCGAGGCCAGAGAAAGTCAGAGACAAGATCTCGTTAATGGCGTTTTCCGACAAGTTCAGCTCCTTCAGGTTCGCCAGACCTGTGAAGGTCTTCTCTCTGAGGCTCGTGATGATGTTCGCTGAGAGATCAATGAACTCCAGTTCGGGCATCTTCAGGAAGGCGTTGGGCGTGAGCGTTGTGATGAGATTCTTGCGCGCGAGAAGGATTTTGAGGGCTGGAATCGCTCCCAACTCTCCTCTGGTTAGGCGATTGAAGCTGATATCGAGGAATTCAAGATGTCTGAGATCTTGAAAAGCGTCCATCTGAACAATCTTGATTTCGTTGTTCTGCAGCCACAATCGCTCGAGTTTCGTGGTGTTTACGAAGTAGTTTCTCTTGATCTCTGAGATCTTGTTGCTATTCGCATCGAGGAACTCGAGGAAGTTCAGGCGACCGAACCAGAAAGGGCCCAGATTTGTTATCTTCGTGGAGGAAATGTTGAGACGGTTGAGATTGAGATACTCCCTGAAGAATGGCTCACGGATATCGAGGCTGCCAGAGTTGGACAGATCGATGTCTTCAATGTTGATAAGGCTGTTCTGCGACAGCACCTTGCCGACCATCGAGAAGATCTCCGTGGGCTTGTTCACCACCGAGAGACTCACCCATTCGGGCTGCAGCTCCGCCAACACCTCGTCAATGGACACGACGTTCTGGCACTCGATGTGCTTCATGATGCCCCCAATGAAGATGGGATGGCACTTTGTCTCCGCCCGGACAACGCCACAGAGCGTCCAGGTGACGAGGAATGCCACAAAGCACCTCATCATCGCACCACTCGATCACTGTGCAAGTCACTCAGGTACTGAATGACTTGTTTGGGCCTCTTGGCTGGCGAAGTCGGATGGGAAAAGTGCCAAGGCGACAGCACACGGAACTGGTTTCCATTCGGCCATCGCATGAATCACGCTGCCAGTGCAGATTCTCACACAATTGCATCGCCTCTTGGAGATCAAGTTCAAGAGATTCTTGACTCTGTGGCGGAATGTGTAGGCAGCCTTAAATGCACTTTGATCTTATCATGCTGGAGGAAATGCATTTGCACTTATCGCGCAACAACATTTATCAGCATCGCGCAAGACATGTTCTCAATTTAGCAAAATGCTTTAAATAGGATATCTATTGGAGATTGCACGCTGTCTTTTCCAGTTTGTAATCTCTAAACGCCGACAGAGGAATGCTTTCGAGATGAGCGATGAGTGCAGGAATTAATTAAGCCCCGCCCAATTGCATGCCACGCCCACATTTTTATTTCACTATCACAGCACATTGTTGAATTGATCAGCAACATTGTATTCACGCACGATGGTGATGTTCTTCACGCAGAAACTCTGTCCGGTCACCACACAAACTGGTCGTTGTCCGTCGAAGAGCACTTTTCTGCGGTACTCAATTCGTCGGTCTGCCAGGAACTTGACCATTTCGTTAAAGCAGGGACACTGCCAGGGATTTCCCTCGATGGAGACGTACTGAAGATTGAGGAAGTTATTGTCCAAATCTGGGAAGAACGTCAAGCGATTGTAGTCAATGAGCAGTGACCAAAGCTTGCGCAGATGATTGAGATGCTCATGATGCAGTTCCTCGATTCTATTGTGGGCCAAGTGGAGCTTCTTCAGCTTATTCAGCGGCTTAAAGACCTCCAAAGGCAGCGATTCGATCTCATTTCCCGCCAAACTCAGGTAATCTAGATTGGGAATAAACTCAAAGGCGCTGGGCTGAACAGTTAGGATGTCATTGCGCATGAGTATGAGCTTCCTGAGGCGCGGAAGACCATCTCTGAACATCTCTTTGTCCAGATTGAGTATTTGATTCTCGGCCAATTCCAGGATCTCGAGCAGAGGCATGACACCGAACGTCTTTGGCTGGATATTCATGATGTTATTGGTGTTAATGAAGAGCTTTCGCAGTGATTGCATGCCTTCGAACATGGCGGGAAAGAGCGATGAGAGTGAATTCTGGGAAATGTTCAGCGATCGCAGATTCTTCAGCTCGGAAAATCCATTTGCTTCAATCAAATTGATGTCGTTCTTGCTCAAATCCAATTCCATCAGCCTCACGCGCGAGAGTCCGATGAATATCTGTGATTGTATTGTCTTGACGCTGTTCCCGGAAATGTTGAGGACTTTTAGGCTTGTCAGGCCCTCGAAAGCGCGAGGATCGATGGTTTTTATGTAGTTTTGCGCCACATTGAGAACCTCCAGCTTTGGCATTCCATTGAAAGCTCCAGTGCTCAACTGTAAAAGGAAGAGCGAGTGTTAGACAGCAGATTAAGAAGCGTGCGATAACAACTGACCTTGTCTAGTGAGTTGTCCATGAGTGATAAGGATTTCAGATTGGAAATCTCTCCGAGATTGATTTCTGATAGATCATTGTTGTTGAGATTCAGCTCCTCGAGCTTCATCAAGTCCATGAAAGCGTTCTTCTCAACGTACGAAATGTCGTTGTAGCAGAAATCCAAGCTCACGACATTCGACAGGATCTTGAGATTCTCCTTTCTGAGGCTTTGCAGAGAATTTCCAGACAGAATAATCTTCGTCACGAGATTCTCTTTGCCAAACCAGTTGCCCTTGAGTTCGCCGATGCTCGAGTTGGTGAGATCGAGTATCGATAGCGAGAGAAAGTCCCTGAATCCGTGATCCGAAAGAACGATTTCGCCTGCTTGTGACAAATCCAGGTGTTCGATGAACCTCAAATTGGTCGATTCATGCTCGGCATTTGTGAATGTTCTTCCTGGATTGTTGATGATAATCAAGTGTCTCCACGTGGGCTGCAATTCCCTCGAAATTGCCAACATAGAGTCCACATTCTTGCAGATAACTTTCACAATTTGCCCATCATTCACACTCGGTTGGCACAATTGGTCAGAAATCACAGGCGAAATTATCCCGAAGATCACAAGCGACAAAACCGTCTTCGACACTTCCATGATCGTCACTGAGAAATGACAGCAATCTCAAGATTTCATGGGAATCAGTAAATTTCCACGATGTCTAGAGAGACTCAAGATCTGCTCATGAGTGTGTAATTTATGGACTGAGTTCGCGATCGAGGTAAAATACCGGACACTCGCATTGACCTCGCGACTCTCTGAGATCAATTTTTGTCACTCTGCGTGATTCCCACAATTTATTTACAACTCCGACCCGATTTGGAATATATTTCTGGGAATTTTCATCAACGGAATTTCCATCGTGTAATAAAACAAGAAGCATAATTTGGCCTTCTTTGCGGGTAAAAAAATGGATAAATGATCAAAGAAATCATTGCAAACAGAGAAAAACAATGAATGAAATTTATTTATGAGTGAAAAATGTGTGAAAACACCGGAAAATCTCGCTGCAAAAAGCTCTTCCAAGAGATGCGAAAGCGAAGACAGTTCATCAAATTAGTGGACAAACTCAAAACTCTCCTGATCAGCGTGATTTTCACTGGATTTCTCTATCAAACTCTGCTTTATCGCTTTAATCCGCCTTTCTTGGTGGTATTCCTCCTATTTTTCCTCGCGTTTTTCACTGCTCTTCGCTGGCAATTCCTCAAATGTTTCATGATTCTCCTCATCCCGATGCTGGTGACCAAGAGAGGAAGATCTGCGATTGTGGGCTACATTTTCGTGCTCACTCTCTCGGGATCCGTTGCGAATATCATGCGGAATGTCGAGGAAACCGTGGCGTGTTTGTCCTGCTCTCAGGAGCATCTCAAGGAATTGCTTCAGGGAATAATCAGAGGACTCAAGCGGCCTTTTGGCGACATCAAGCAACTGATCTCGAGGATTCAAGACCACATTTTGGTGGCCATGAAGGAGATTGAGGATCGCTTGAGTGCCATAAAGGAAGACATCAACGCTTTGAGTAAGGATTCTTGATTTTCTTCCTCATTCTAGATGTATTTGTGATCTTTCTCTTAGTTCCGTCCATTCGGAAGGCTTTTGCGTGGCTGGAGGATGTCTCGAAGCTCTGCCAGAGAAGTTACGGATCTCCGTTCAAAATGTGCGTGGATGCGCTTAACAGGATGATTGCGAAGTGCGAAGAAGACTTGGGAAGTGCTTCTGTTCTCTGCAGTCTTCATTATCTCATGCAACCGCTCTGCATTCCAATGGAAGTGTTCAAATTCATGTGCATCGGAATAAAATACATCGGAGAATCTGCCCTCAATGCCATTGAAGAGAGTAAGTAAGGATTCTTTTTCGAAACCGCATTTTTATTACCTTTTCCCTCATTTCTTCCTTCAGTGGCTGAAACTTTCAGTGAAATGATCAAGAAAATGTTCCATTTCAACTTGGAATTCGACTCTGACTTTGACTTTGAAACTACTGCATCGAGAAATTGGACTGAAATCAGGCAATCCATCTCGAAGGAGTTCAGGAAGAAGACAGAAATATTCGCGTCCTTTGTCGGCTTCATGGAAATCCTGTCGCTGATCTTCATTATTTGGCTGTTCTACAAGTAAGACAAATCACAAATTGCCTGATTTTATGATCAATCCAACACTCTATCTTCCTCTGCAGAGTCTTCAGATACCAGGTGCAGTATCTCAAGCGCGATGACTACAGGAATTGCTACATCACTCGCGAGTTCCTTGACATTGAAGCCAAAAGCGAAGAACAAGGACGAAAGCTTGTCTTGCCTCTGCGCGGTGAAGAAGAGGATCGTTACACCGAAATGCGCACTTTCTGGCTCATCCGATATGAAAGAAGGAAGCTCTTTCGCTCCTTTCCCTTCCTGCTGCTCTCCAACATTCAGATCTTCACAATTCTCTTCACGGACTTCAGTCTGCACTGGATTCTCGCAGTTATTCGCGACTACGAGGAAGCTCATCTCACGCCAATGACTTCTGGCTACACGATCATCGAAGTCAACGGAACTGGGCCGCTGGCAGAGATGTACAGAGGCGTGGTTGGGGAATTCGAGCCAATGCTCAAAGGGTACACGACAGACTTCAGGGATTGCCTGCCGAATCCCAGTCCTCCGGATCTTCAGAGATTTCGCACAATCATCATCCTCACAGTCATTTGCTGGGCCTTTCTGCTCCTGGAACCCTTCAGTTTGCGCATCCAGCAACTCGTGATGGACTCTTTTCACCCCGAGAGAGCGCGCAAGAGGTCAGCTTGGCTGCACGCTGAAATCCTGCGGCAACGGAAGAGCTTCCTGACCATCGCAGCGCAGAAGATACTTCACACGGTCAAAGGAGAGGAGAATGAGGACAGTGTGTTCAGGTAACTAATTATTTATCAGCCAACAATCTATTTACAAGCCTCTCGAAGTCTATTTGGCCGGTTTGGCGGTCGCCAGCGACTCCAGAACGCACTCCCGGAACGCCACGACGTGACTGCGGCACTTCAGGGGGTTATCGCTGTTGTCGCGGTAGCACGAGACCACAGTGTCCGCCAGGTGAGAGCAGGCGTCCGTGCGCTGAGGCGCTGCCTGGTCAGAGTCCACTCGATTCCGGATAGTGTCGTAAGTGCGTCTGAAGTCCTCCTCAGATCGCTCGATAGTCTCGTGTAACTTCCTCAGCTGATCCTCCAGCGCGCGGTCTTGACTAGGAGAGGGAACTGGAGGCACCACGGGGCGGATTTTCGGTGGGGGCACTGGAGCTGGGATCTCTGGTTCCTGGGCAGCTTCTGGGAAGTTCAAAAAGCACTCATTTAGAGCCAACTTCAGGTGTAATCTGGGATGGAAAAACGCTCACCTCGCTCATATCCCATCAGGCGCTTCACCACGTCGTCCGTGACCGCCACGACGTCCATGGAGGCGTCCGTTTTGGGGTCGTCGGGCTCCACTGAGTAAGAGCGCGTCGCGGAATTGGAGGCACCCATTTTTCAGGAGCCGAAAAAGCCAGGAAAATGACACAACTGACTACCCAGTAAAGAACTGTGCCGATAATCGTTAGACAAGCATGAGAGAAATCGTACGACGCAATGAACTAAACTCTTAACTATAAAAGCCTGATAAGATTAACATTTAAATTCAGGAGTGGATTAAATGTGATTTAAATGTTTCTCAGTAATATTTTGCAATTTCAGACAGCAATTCTCTGTCAGAAAATAGAAGTATTTTAAGAAATTCAACGTGTAATAAAAGAGATCTAGAAAACGCTATCAAAAGGTTGAATTTTCACAGATTCTTATTCATCAGAAATGATAAAATCGTCAATTGTACAATAAGCCTTCTTCTTTTCATAAACTCCGCCTACTGATAAGATCCGCCTTCTTTCCCAGGGACTTCTGGGAGAGGATTCGCCACACTCGCTGCTTGACTTTCTTCCTGGGTCATCAATGGCAGGAGTTCTGTCTCTCCTGCGCCACTCCTGGCAGCTTAGAAGATAGCCTCGACCCTTGCGATCAGTTGAATTGTCCTGGAATATTTTGCTTTGATTGCCTGGACGCGGAAGACTTCTCCTGTCCGCTGTGCGATGGAAAGTACAGTCGTCTCATCGACGAGGCGGTTGCAGTTTGAAGCATGGTGTGCGCCTCGGCTCTGCGAAGACGGTACAACAGAGGCGCGTGAGCTCGCGCGAGTGTTTATGCATGAAATGGGTGATAAGGCAATTAGTGGCGGTGCGTGAATAAAGGGACTCTGGGGATGTTGGCTGATGCTGCAGTGCAATGCGATGGACAGACAGTGGCTGTGGATGTCGCCTGAGAATGTGTCCTTCGGGAGGCGCGCGAGAGAAGTGCGCGAATTGTGGCGCGAGAGACGGTCAAAGAATCACCGGTTCAACGTGCAACAACACTCTCAGTCTCTCTCGAACGCTCTGCGTGGCTGGTTGCCTTTACGCTCTCGTTGCTGTCTGGCCGGAGTATCTGAAGAAGTTGCACACCTGAAGCAGGAGTGAAAATTAATTTGATACAATTAATCTCAGTGTTTCCATCCCATTGGCGCTGGGCCCATCATTAAGTGAAAAGAGTGTGACGGTGGGAATTGAGAGTGATCTCGCGTGGCGGTGCAATTGAGTGTGTTGAGGAAGATGCAAGAGTGATTGGGCAGGGAAATGTGCACAGTGCGTTGAACGCTCTTCACGGACACTCACTGCTGACGCGAAGTGGTCTCAAGATGCCCCAAATGGAGGAGAATCCCGCACGATCTGCCGGCGCATCTGCCAACACTCTGTCTCAGGTCAGTATCTGAACCTTCGACCTGTTCGTGATTTTTCCATCTCATCTCCCAAGCAACAATGCACAGAGTCACTCAATGGCAATGACCTTATTTGAGGCGTAGCGAAAACTCTTTTCACTGGTGAGCAACTCATAAAAATGCCCCATCGCGCGAGTTTTGCGAGCCGAACACGTGAACAGAGAGTTGTGCTGAGGAGGCAAAAGAACGCGCCTCGTAAACAAGAAAGTTTTTGGCACAGAAATCGAGGAAATCCCCTCTGGTATTCGCACGGATAAATTCAGAGAAATTATATTCATCAATTGGCATTGATCAATTCATTTTACGCACAAACCGTTCAATTTTAATTGATGGCCTTTTAATATGAAATTGTTGCTGGTGAAAATGCAATTTGATCATTTAGCAATTGCTATGCAAATTGTGCAGAAATTGCTTTATGCTCCACGAGAGAGTATGTTATATACTTGGTGTTAAAGTGTGGGGAAAAAATGCACTCATTTTCATTCAATATTGCCGATGAAGAGGGAAGATTGGATCGCGTTCGGTGTCAGTTTCCATAATGAAGAAGTTTGTATGTTCTAGCGCTCTTTTAATCTCAGCTGCATGACTATTTCAAGGGTATTAGATGATTTTATCTCGCTAGAAGACTCTTGATTGGCCATTAATTCTGCTCTGGCTAGTTGGCGCAGGAAAGATCGCGCTTCCCTCGCTGACCACCAGAGATATGTACGAAAAGTGTCTCGCTCTCCAAGAGGAAGCGTCTGAAAACTTGTCCGTGAAACCTGCTCCACTTCTGCCCTCTGCCAAGAGAGTCCCAAAGAAGCTCTCGCGATGGCTGAGACAAGGCGATACAGTTAGTAGAGAGAGAAAAAGAATACCTGCGAAAGCATTCGTGGCAATTATTGAGTATCTTCTTCTCACATCCACAATTCGCGATCTATAATTATTATTTCCCTTTTTGCTAAACATCTCTCGCCAGCCTCCGAGATAGCGAGCTATCGGCGTGCGGATCATTGTTTATGCTTTCAGCATGTTCGTCACTCTGTTGCTCTTGGTATCTCGGTTTCTGGATCAGCGCGACCTTCACGATCGCGAGCCATCCCTTCGCCCAAGGCTGCTCAGCTCGTCCCACAGGATTTTCTGGGCGAACTACCAGTGAAAATCCACATTTTGCACTGCTCTCAGTTATGTAAGTTTTGAAGTCAATGAGCGAGTTTATTAGAGTTGATTTGATAATTAGTGGAGGTTTAGTTTTTCAATGAGGTTGCTTAATAATTAACAGATACTTTGCGTTTCTTTCATAGCAAATTGCGATTACACATCTGGAATTTGCGTGAGATTGTTATAATAATAACGTTATTATAAATGAATTGTAGCGCTTTGATGGAAAAAAAATCTATTTATTACTTTATGGAATCTAATCAGGAATTGATGCTAAAATACTTGAATAAATGGATTGAATAAGCTTTTCTAGAGCAAAATCGATAAGATTCTTAGAATCCATCATTAAAATGAACAGTTAAATAAGTTTCTTCTAACATTCTTCCTTCGTCTCATCTAAATTTCAGTATTTATGACATTTTTCGCTGAGGAGTGTGAGTGATTCTTTAAGATTTCTTGGCTCGCGTCTTTCACTTTCGAGCGATATCTCAATTCTGCACGCTCTCCACGAAAATTTTCCATCGATTGAATATTAATATGTTCAGCGAGGATGAAAGATACCGAGTTTTACATCATGCCTTCTTGAGCAGACATCATTGTTCTCGTTCGCAGTGGAAATGATTCGTCTTGGGAAAATCATCACTCACACCACACACACACAATCTGTCCTGGGAAAAGCCCAAAAGATGCTCCCCAAATAGAAGAACCCCAATGGAAAAATATATTTCAATTTTCCATCTCTGTGAATGAACTTTGTCACTGTGACTTTGGGAGAATGGATTAAAAATTGAACAAGAGAGAGAGAGAAGAAAATTCTGTGCTTTTGAGGGTGTGGAAAACATTGAATTTCACTTGCGGGTGAGAAGAAGACGAGAATTCATTTGTGGGGATGAGACAGAGAATTTTTCTTGAGAAATTGCATCAATTTATTACATGTAATTCGCCTGGCGGGACAAGTGAAAAGAAAACACCGCGAAAATGGTGAAAAATGGAAAAAACGTGGCGGAAGAATTGTCGGGGAGCACCAGTGAAATGCATCAATTAGAATTCCGTGTGTTGACACGAGTGGGAAAAAATGCCCTCAAAATGCGGGTTGGTTTTCATGGTATTAATTGTGAACAATAATTTTCTGCACGTCATCTTTCAAAATCTCCCGCATTTCACAGTCCAAATTCATTAGAATTCATGTGACAGTCGAAGCCAATCTTCCTGAAAAGTGCAAAGAACTTTTCAGGAAAAATCCACTGCGAATTCTCGTGATGGCAATTTTCTCTTTGGCGTAAAAAAAAAGAAGTCTTTACCTGAGTTAAGAAAAAAAAGAACAACTTGCGTGAGCCATTCAATTTGCCGTGTCTTCAGAAGTTGCTCCTCAAGACATGATCAAGATTGTGTTTAGTTTTTTTTTTCTAGCTTTGCACAATTAAAATGTTATATTTCCGACATTGTGAGGAACATGAGGAGAAATAACTCACCGTCTCGCCAAAAATGTGAGACAAAAACGAAGTTGAGAGCAATAATTTAGGGAAAAATATTTAGTGGACAGCTTCGGAGGCATTTAATTAAGAGTCTCACTCAACCACTTGCTTGTCTTTTCCTCTTCATGCCCTCGTTTTTGGGCATGTTTTTTTTTTGTTCGAAGATGGAACACGCGGGCAAAAAAAAAATGGAGCTAAATCATCAAATATTCTATTGCCGAAACACATATGAATATTAATGGAGTGGCAGAAAAACAACGATGAGGACAGGAAAGTCAATTTAATCAGCAAATAACATATCGATTTGTGGATTTATTTGCGGATTTTTTTAAGACAAGCTCGGTCTTTTCACAAACTTTTCGTTGGCCAATTCATCATGGATTTGAGTGCACGATTGATGGGTGAACTGTAACTGAGCGTGGCTGAAAGTGGAGTAATTGAGCCAAAGTGCGTCCACAGCGAAGAATCCAATCAATTTAATCAGGCATGAGGTAAACAAGCCTCAAATCAAATCAAACCCGCGCGGCGAAGCAGGGAAAGAAGTGTGCAAAGAGTGATTGACATCACTAGAATGTTGTAAGAGATAAATAGTGAACACAGTGGATTAGAAATATGCTAAGTGTTCACGTAATTACAACGTCATAAATGTGAATTTATCATCACTGCGATATGCAAATATGGGCATGTGATAAAGTTGGCCTGAAACACTTTTTTGTGAGAAAAGGCGCGAAGAAGTGCCATTGCACAATTTCTGGTGTGTGTGTAAAATGTGTAGAACAATAAAAAGCCGTAAAAGGTTCACAAAAATCCTCATGAGAAGCCCGGGGAATTTTCCTGCATTAATTACAAAGTCTTTCCATACTTTTTTTCCTTCTTTTGGGCGGCTTTTGTGGCAGAAAAAAAGTCGCAAAAGAAAATATTTTACGAATTGATTTTCCACAACGTTTAACATTCTGAAAATACAATGGAAAAACAGCCCACGAATTGCCTTTTCGCGGTGCTTCGCAAATTTGATTGTGTTCTGGCGAATGGGGAGGAAGAGAGCGAGTGAGTGGTAAAGATAATAAAGAACCTTATCTGCGGGTTGAGTAAATTATGTGAAAAGATAGAGTTACAAGTTTAGAGGAAAGTCAGGATGAGTTAGAAGAGGAAATTTGCATTTTGGAGGTAAATTGTGAAATGTGGAGTGAATTGAGTGATGAGGTGGGCGTTTTTGGGTGATGTTCACCGAAAAGCAAACTCACAATTCTACTATATAATATATAATAAGTCTATTTGCCTCCCACTCTGCGTCTAACACGACTCTTTGTCCAAATTCGTTTGTTTTGTCTAGTCCAAACAAACAGTCACGTGCACATGATCGCTAATTTATGGCTGAAAGTTGCATCTCTGACGCTGTGTCTTAAGCCTAGACCACTGGCGGCATTTCAGACGACAATTAAGCAAGTAAATTTACATGCAGATCATATTCAATATTTAATGAATTGTCAATTCACATTTGAGTCACACAGGTTCGAGACTAGGGACAAAAAGAGTGATATTTACGATCGTGATTGCGCTCGTGACTTGCAAGAAAGGGAGTTTGCTTGTGGATTTAATGAATTACCATTGTATAAATACGAAATTGCCGTTGACATGGGCTTTGGCAATGCACCCACCAATTATTTCGTCATTTCATCACTCGATATGGCTGAGATAAGAAAGGGTGCAGTTGTGATCAGCGCATTGGCGCCGAAATTCATCTCTCTTTCTTCCCCCAGGAATAAGTGAATAATGAAATTAATATAAAATTTCGGGGCGACACTTGAGCCATGTGTGGTCTGGCGCGAACAATGGGAGGATTCTGGATGTCCCACTCATTAATTCAGTGCTCGCGAGGAGACGAACACTCCCCATTGACGACAGGGAAGGAAGAGTGTTGTGTGAGGCGTAAAAAATGGATTTCGATGGCCCTTTCAAGCGCCTCAAGAGCACGAAATGAAAGGTCTTGGAGTTGCAGGAAGAAGGAGTGTGTGTGTGCGACAGGATGACAATAAAGTGAGTCTCGTCATCCCTGTGCACACAAAGAAAATCACTCTGCAATTGTCATTCGAGAAGGTTGGCATGAAAAAATGTTTGTACTTGAATATTCCAGGCATTTCTGCGTCGCATCTTCTCCTTAATATCAGTCACACTAGAGTTGAAATGAAATAGAGCAAGTTTTGCATCTCTCTATTTGCTGCAATGTAACAAAAAGCCTGTCTAATGTATTTAGTGGGCGGAGCATACGAATGGGCGGGGCTTAGAAAACTGTTTTAAGAGCTAAAGCAGTGCCTAGAAATGGCATTATCCTATCGTAAATCTACACTGCACTCAACTCTGCTTCTC